GGACTGCTTTTCAGGACCCTGGATTCCTGGAGCACACTGAACTCCTGCTGGTTCTCACTCAGAGTCTCAGGGTTCTAGGCAATTGCTCAGCCATGACCCAGGATACCCTTACTCAGTCCCACGTTTATGGACTCCCTGTAGCCTCTCCCAACCCAAGTCTCTGGCACATCATAGAGATGCCTCTCTTGCCAATCTGCGTTCACCCTCTAGCCTTCTTTCCCTACACCTGATCCCCACTTGTGTTCTCCCCACTACCATTCTCACCCAGTTCCCTCCATCTATTCACCTCCAATGATTATCTTATTTTCCTTTCTGAGTAAGATTCAAGAATTCTTGCTTGGATCATCCTTGTTATTTGGCCTCTTTGGATCTGTGGATTGTAGTCTGGTTATCCTGTACTTTATGGCTAGTATTCACTTATAGGTGAGGACATATGATGCATGTCCTTATGAGTCTGGTTTACCTCACTAAGGATAATATTTTTCTAGTGATATCTATTTCCCTGCAAGTTTCAGGATGTTCTTGATTTTAGTACCTGAGCAGTATTCCATTGTGTAAATGAACTACATTTTCTTTATCCATTCTTTGGTTGAGGGGAATCTGGGTTGTTTCCAGTTTCTGGTTATTACAAATAAGGCTGCTGTGAACATAGTAGAGAGCATCTTCAATAAATGATGCTGGACTAACTGCATATCTGCATATAAATGAATGTCAACAGATCCATATGAGTCACCCTGTATAAAACTCAAGCCCATGGGGATCAAGACCTCAACATGTAGCCGTACTAAGTCTAATTGGAGAGAAAGAGGGGGATAGTTTTGAGTGTATTGGTATAGGCGACAACTTCCTGAACTGAACACCAATAACTCAGTCACTAAGAAATACAATTAGTAAATGGGACCTGATGAAACTGAAAAGCTTCTGTAAGGCAAAGGACACTGTCAATAGGGCAAAATGACAGTCTGAAGTTTGGGAAAGGATCATTACCAACCCTACATCTGACAGAGGGCTGATATCCAAAATATATGTAAAGAAGGTAGATGTCAACAACCCAAATAACTCAATTAAAAATAGGGTAGAGAGCTAAATAGTGAATTCTCAACAGAGGAATCTCTAATGGCAAGGAAGCACTTCATGAAAGGTTTGACATTATTAGTCATTAGGGAAATGAAAATTAAAATGATTCTGATATTCTTACACCTGTGAGAATGGCTGAGATCAGAAACTCAAATGACAGTACATCCTGGCAATGATGTGGAGCAAATGGACACTTCTCCATTGCTGGTGGGAATGCAAGCTTGTACAATCACTCTGGAAATCAATTTAACTGTTTCTTAGAAAATTGGGAATATTTCTATATCATGACACAGGTATATCACTCCTCGGCATATTCCCAAAAGATGCTCCACCAGACTATAAGGACACTTGCTTCACTGTATTCATGGGTCATATTTTAACAGGAAAAAGCAAGAGATTATATTAACTCAAAATGAAAACAGACCATTATAGTGGAAGGATAGAGGTGGGATAATCATGTGGAATCTTACCGTAGGACTTGTGTTGGTCTTTGTAGAAAGTGAGCACCTTAGACATGGGTGGTCATCTCATGTGTGTAATTATTGTCTTAAATCATAAAGGAGTGGCTTAGAATCCCAGAATAAATAATGAAGTAGTAGATGTTTATCATCTGAAGTGATGGACTCTGGGGCTTTCTGGATGGGCAGCCTTCCCTATTTGGTAAGTTCCAGGCCAATATAAAGCCAGTATTGTCTCAAAAACCAAGGTAGATGTGACAGGGATAAAAAGAAAGTGGAGGGAGTAAGAGTATGCAGAATGTGTTATATACATGTATAATTCCGCAAAAGACAATTATGAACAAATGTAAGAGAAAAACTTCACTAGGTAAATTAAAGTAATCCAAAAACAGCATGTAGAAAAAATGTCAACAAAGTGTTGTTAAAATTAAAGTAAAAATTAAACTGTGAATTAGAAACTAGGAAGGTAGTGCTTACTAGAGAATTTCAATGGAGGCAGGATTAGATGTTTTCAATATTTACTGTATAATATGTGTAATGTTCACAAAGAAAATATCACTATATTGAAGATACTGTTCCATGTGTAATTAAAGCACCTCAGATCACAGGTGAGTGGGTAATGCACACTTGGTGAGCCCACAGTAAATCAGCTACTTCAAGACTTACAAACTAGCCACTCAAGTGTGGTTTGTGTTTGGAAACAAGAACTCTGTTTTCCAAATGTACAGGCTGGAGCAGAAGAGGACCCAGAACTAGTCATGAGTGGCCGAACTCAATCTTGTGAAGCTGGCATATCAACATCATTTTGACCCAACAGGCTACATGAATCCTAGCACCATGCCCGTGAGCCCTGCATGTGCTGGCTAATGAGCATATGACCTATGCAATCTCAGAATGTCCTTTCTGAAAAGCTCCACACATGATTTATACTTTGCTGTAACCATATCAGAATCCTTCCTGCTTTTCTACCTAGCAACCATACACTATATGTTCTGAGCTTTACAAATTATACATCTTGTCATGCTCTTTGCCAGAACAGTGATCTACACTGTGGTCAAAATTCAGTCACACATAGACTTAAAAGAGTTGCTGAGACACAAGACTGTCCCTGTGCTTTTTCAATAAAACTGATTCTCAGTTTAAATCTTTATTATTGTTTTCTCAAAGCCATGGCTTCCAGGACAGACACAGCCCTAAGCTAAAATTCAGGGTTTTTTCTTTGCTTTTTTCGTTTTTCTTTTTTTTTTTTTGATCTGTTGGTTTTCCACATGATAAATTAAAGAAGCTGTTCACAAATATATGTTTGCTTTATTTTTATTTCTTTTGTTTTTCATGTATAATCTGCCTCCTGGAATCTGCTTATCAGGATCATGAAAGTCATCAACCCTTGTAGACAAATTAAATTGAATTCCAAGCCAACCTCCAGGGTCATTTTCCTAATAAAATTTCTGAAAATTATGGTACTGCATTCTAAAATATAACTGTTGACATTCAACTGTGAATTGCCTTTTCTGAATCAGTAAAATAGTTTTATCAAGGATTTTATTGTTTACTTGAGCACATTTTGTGTATCATCTCCCTTACTTTTCTCCAAGTTTAATGTGCACTGTCATAATTATTTTGTCTTACCAATTTTGATTGATTTACATTTTATTAGCATAATAGATAAATTTAGTTCATTACTTATTCAAAGGTTTGAGGAAGATTTATTTCCTAAAGTTATCTTCTTCCACCTTCTTCTGTGTCTCCTTCTCCTCTTGATTTCTCCCAAGTGCACAGTTAATGGCTTCATCATCTTTCAGTGTCATCTAGGGTTTAGAGTTTCCTTCCTACATGGCCATATGTGTTTGGGGTACCTCACTTTTATTATTCAATGTGTGTGTGCATGGGAAGGCACATTTCTTTGGGAAGTGAGTCTGTGGATGTGTGTGTGCATATGTGTGTGTAAGCCAGGTGATAGCCTTAAATGTTTTTAAATGTTGCCTCATAGACACTTGCTCTTCCCCAACCACTAGTTTTTTTTGTATTACTAGTCTTTCATTGGTGACCTGTAACTTAGGAAGCAGACTAAAGTGCCTAGCCAGTGAGCCTCAGGAATTCTCCTGGGTTTGCTGTGATTGCAAATGTCTGTCACAGCTTCAGGCTCCTCCCAGCTCCCCAACATAGCATCAGAATTTTCTGGGGAACAATCTCAGGTCTTTACCCTTACAAGGCTAGTATTTTCTGTTGTGAGCCATCTTCCCAGCACTGTATTTCAGCTTTGCTCATCATACTGGCTATTCATTCCGTGTCACCGGGATTTACCTTCATGTCTTTTGTATACCATTCCAAGTTTTTGTCCTTTTCTCCTTCCCCTATAAACATAATTTTCCTGATTATACTGATTATGATTATACCACTTCTACTCATACTGCACTATTGGTTTTTGTTCTCACAACTTCTGTTCCAATAAAGCTAATCACTGCCTTACTTCAGAGAATACTTATTTTCCTGTATGTCTGGGACAGTGTTAAACCCTAACTCTAATCATACTGTAAATTTCCCCTGGAGTCCTTAGCCCACATCTGGTATGTATCCCCAATCATTCTGTCTTCCTGGAGGTTCTCCGTAACCTCTTGACCTCTTCTCACAGATTTGCTCCTCTGTGCAGATGCCTTTGGCTGAGAGCTTATTGTCCAGAATGGCAAAATGAAGTTGATTTTAGTTTTGAACGTGAGTAAGATTCATTGAACATGGTGTGAAGTGGAAGAGTTGTTAGACAAGTTGTTTTTTTACCAGTGGCCACATGAATTTCATTAACTTTAAAAGATAATTCCTACTGGTTTCTTTATATCTGCTTTTATCAAATGTTCTGCTGTCCGATGGCACGGGGCACAGACTTATTGGCATGGATTCTCAGCTGTCATTAAAGTATTCTATCATTATCTCTTCTATGTCCCATCACTTCCCATTGGCATGAGGGAGATCAAGGCATCCACACTGTGTGTTGGAAGGACAGAGCCCTTCTTTATGCTGCACTTCATAGGCTCCCCTTTCCTCATCCTGTTGAAGGTAGAAGGAGCTGCCAGTTCACGGGCCCTCAGAATTCTGTGCCTCCAGCCACATTGGTTTTCAGTGTTCTCACCACAGCTTCACTGCCAGTGTTCAGATCCACTATGTTAGCTGCTATGCAACTGTTCCAGCTCCTCCAATCCAGCCAACCTCAGCTGTTTTGTCCTTGTGCATTTCTAGGTCTTCATTCCTTTCTTGTCATCTTACTGAGTCATATTCATAGAATTGGTGGCAAGTATATGTATACATTGTTAATGAAGGTATAGAATATTATTCAGACTAGATTTTATAGTGTTTCACAGAATAAGATTGAGGAGTGAGGAAGCATCATCCAATTGGTTGGAAAGAACTTGCCTGTGATTGGTTTTTGTTTCTGTTTGATAATCATTAATTTCTATTTTCCTTTGAATACAGATGGAAACTTTAGACAAAGCCGACCAAACCTCACCTCCCTGTTAGTGCAGCCCATCTCTGCATCCCTTGCTAAAGTGCTCATCTCTTTGCCAAAACTGAGAATGGATAAATATGCCTGCAGCCCTCTAGAACTTCCATATAATGGTAAGACAACTTGTGTTTTGAGATATCTGCTGATCAAGTTTGTGCCAAAACTGAGCCTGGAAAATTATTCTGGTGACCCTCTAGAACTTCCACATAATAATGATTCCTACAGCTCTCTAGAACTTCCACATAATAATGATGTCTACAGATCTCTAGAGCTTACAGTTGTCTTGTAGTAACTTACACATGCCTACAGCCCTCTAAAACTTCCATATGATTATAACTACAGACCTCTAGAACTTACTCATAATGATGTCTACACACCTTCAGCACTTCCACATGATAATCATGCCTTAAGCCCTCTAGAACTTCCTTATAATAATGTCTACAGCCCCCTAGAACTTACACAGAATGATGTCTACAACTCTCTAAAACTTACAAATAATAATGATGCCTACAACTCTCTAGAAGTTACACATAACAGTAAATTAACTTGTGCTTCAACACATCTAGAGAATACTTTAAGTACTTTGGTCATTAAAAGAAGTCTTTTAAATTAAAAGGGCTAAAATTATTTGTTTCAAAAATACTGACATTTGATGGGAAGTGGATTTGTTTCATTCTGTGATTCTATAAAGATGATTTTGAAGTCTAATTATGATTAAAATCTAAGGGATTGACCAAGCTTAGATATTTTCTTTCAGAGGAAAAGGGGAGTTTGAATTTTGTTCAAAGTAAAGGAGCTTCACAGATAAAGCATTTTGGATGTGCTTGGCATGGCTTCACAGGCTCAGCTCTGGCAGACTTACTGACTACCAAGATTCAGTGGATAGCAGTAGTTATCTGGGGTATAAAGTCTTTTAGTATAAAGTATTAACATGTAATTCCTGCAATTGACTAAAAGAATCCCTCTGTCTATACGCACCATTGCCCGGGAGATGCTTCTCATTCGGTGGTGCTGTTTATCAGGCCTTCTTGGACTTCGCAGGATAAAACTGAAGCAACTAAGCTACCTGTGATGGGATAAAAGTCCTAAACTACATCTTTTTTTCTGCCTACAGCTTCAGCATTAAAGTTCTGAAGAAGACATTGTCTTTACATATTGTTAAATGTGTCTCTGGCCGCTGTGAACTAACATTTCAGTGCTTTTGGGGTTTTCTGATGTCCAGATTTGGGGCCCTACTAGCAAAGATCTGTATCTGTTTTCCTCTTAAGTACAAAAATACTAAAATACTTTGGCAATTTTTTTCAAAGTCAAGATTGCTATATGTTAGAAACATATGTACATTTCTCTCTCTCTCTCTCTCTCTCTCTCTCTCTCTCTCTCTCTCTCTCT